CATATTCCATTCAAACTGTAAAAAAAAAAAACAACAAACTGTGGAGCACAATCCTCTGTCAAATTAACTGTATTTTATGTGCTTTTGTAATGAGCCTTTGAGAGCCATATAATCACACATGTACCTTGGGATATTAGGAGAAGAAAATCACTGTTCTTAAGAAGCTGCAGTTACATAATTTATATTTTCATTTAAATGGCCTTTCCTCATAGTTTTGAGGTCAGCTCTTTCAGGTTTTTGATGTGATAAGTCAATGCCTTCCAAAAGAACATATAAAAGGGAAGAAGCAAGAGCTGATTTAAATTTTAATTAGTTCAATATAACATTTCAGTTTCATCTCCTGTATCAGCCTGAACTCTGTTCATTTCTGGGGAATTGATTTTCTTGTCCTGCTAACTGACTTAAATGCATAGTGGTCTTTTACCCTTTAGGCTTACAGTCCAAGCTGAATGTCCAATGCACTTGGAGGACTTCCCTATGGATGCTCATTCATGCCCACTGAAATTTGGCAGCTGTAAGTACATAGCAAGAAGTATAGCCTTTGGTTAGTGAATATCTAACATTGCTCAGCATCAGTTTGTTTCAATAGTTGTTACATGAGAGGTTTAAAACAAAAGACACTATTTTTTTAAAAAAATTGTAACCTGACACATCAAAATCTCTTTTCTCTATTCAGTGTTGTACCTTCTGATGTGTTTTAACTCCATTTAACAATAAGCACTATGCACCTAATTCAGCCCTGCACTGATGTACTTCTATTCCAGCACGCAAACCATACCAATGAATACAGATGTGGGTGCACACAGCCTGTGTAGAATGTAGATGGTATATTAATGAAGAGCAGATTAAAGACTTCAAAGAATGTTTGTTTTCATCTATTTAAATATTTATTTTCTCTTTATTGTTAACAATATTTGTTTTTACATTCTTAGTGAATGAAGGCAATGGCAAATGGCTTCTTGTGATAAAAAATTTAGCTCATTAGCACATCTGCATGCTAGGTGGACTTGGATTTCACTAGTATTATTTTAACAGCAGTATAACTTCTTTTACCAATATTACAGCCTTTCTTCTTCTTCACAAATTAGGATCACATTATATATATTTCCTGGACTTTGTACACTAAAAATGTTTTCTTTTTTCCTTTCACTACAGCCTACATTTTCTGCTGGGCCTAGGAAGGGAAAAGGTTTTTTGAGGAAACTTAATACCTTTAAATTCTGTCTGATTTTACATTAATTGCAGCCACCACAGGTTACAAAATAGGTGATATGCTCCCACTAAGGACATCATTAACCAGACGAACATTGTCAGAGCACTGTGCACACTCCCTCCATAACCCTGACGTATCCCCTTTCTCTGGAGTCTGGATCAAATGAAACCAAGCCCGTGTTTGTGATGATGTTTCCACACAAGAGGAAAGTCTTAGCTATGGAGATAAAAGATCATTAGAATTAATAATATTTGTATCATGGAGCCTTTTTTGCTCCCTAAATATTATATTATGTTTATAATACTTAATAGAATTTAACTGACACCAGAGATGTTAGCTGAAATCAGCTACTGACTAATAATATTTACATGTATGTGTGCAGCAAGGTATGCTTGATTTATAAGGTGTGTGTGTGAGAAAAGACTCGTATGTAGCCTCATAACAACTGAAAAAACCCCAAAATCATGAAACTGATAACTCAAACCAAGAGGCTACATTATGGTATGACTTCATTTGCATTCCTAGGTTGGAAACCCTTCTGACTAGGTAAATTAGACTTTGTGTGAACAGGTTTGGGGTTTTTTTAATCTTGGTTTTTATTGTTTGGTTTTTTTGTTTACTTACTAATTTGCTCTTTGTTCTCTGTCTATGGTTTCTGGATTTCTGGTAAAAAGGAGAATTCAAACTGTGAGCAATGCGATTTTAGAAAAGCTGTCTTTCATTTCTCCTGTAGTCACCTGTGCTCCAGCTTGTTGGCACATCCTGGGTACTCTTACTTCTGTTCATTTTGAATGGCTTCGCACTTATTTTATTTCTTTACCTACAACTCATTTCTAGACTACTGTGTATTTTTCAGCTTTTATTCTGGATTTGAATGATGAGTAGTGGTGAAAATAAGCAGGAATCCTGAGGATTTTGGTTTAGCCGAGACAAGTCTGCCAGTGGTGTATATTTGTCACAGCTCTTCATGTGATGCTAATCTTGCATTGCTAGAAGGATCACTGGCCTGTACAAATGACTCAGGTTTTTTTTGTTTTACACAAAAGCCAAACTGGATGTATTGGAGAAGCTGCAGCTTAATAGATTGACTTTCTTTATCATAATCAGAAAATCTAGCCAACAGTGGGGAGGATGGGAACAAATCAGCAATTGGCAGTACTGCTGGTTTGCATTAAAGCAGAGGTTTTCTTGTGGGAAGCTGGAAAGATAGAAGTGTTCAAAATCTCTACATGCTACCCATCTGCTAGATTATATTAGTCATGCAGTTTATGGCTAGTTGCATGAAAAAGCTTCTTTCAGGGCCTCCAGAGATTTCTCAAGTGAAAATGTTTGCAGCCCAACAGAAATGTTGCCTTTATTTTTTACTTCACTACAGTTATGGCATAAGATTTAAAATGTACTTGTCTCAGTCAATCAAAATGAACACACAATTTCTTCCATCAGTGGTTTACCCTTTTCCTTTCATACTCCATTTGTTAGTAGGGTATTAGACTGGAAAAACTTGCAGGACATACTCAATTTTTTTCTTTCTTATTTACTGGAGAGGCATTAATGCTATTTAAAATAGAGTTTTGATTTGCTTTCATTCTAGTTTATTTTGATGGACCCTAGGCTAAATGTATGTTTGATCATGAATACACTGAGAGCAGCCTACTTAAGGTCAGCGTGTCCCACAAAAGGTTCCATGATAAGGAGTGCAGTTTAAGAGAATACTGAGGGCAGGGCACAGAGCCACTACAAGTTTGTTAAAGGCATTGTCACTGAACCTGGCTTCCCATGTTTAGTTTCAGCTAATAATAAGATGCTTGTGATACACTCCTAAAGTGGAGAGTGGGGACAATGGACAGTCAGAACAATATAGGAACGAATTTTTTAAAATATTGTGTGTCTTGCAAATTGTTGGTTTTTTCATCTGTCTTACCACAAGTTTTAGGATATATGTAATATCTAATCTCTGACAAATTTTCTAACAATGTAGGAGAGATATGGTTTGTAAATTAATAGTAATAAATTGTGGTTAATAAGATCACAAATGAGTGGCCTGTTCCCATGCTGCAATAGGCATTTACTCCACAGTAAAGCTGTTTTAAATGGCCAAACATATTTTTTACCGTAGCATTTTAAGTTTTTTGGGGTGTTTTTTATTTTTAAATATGTAGTTCTTCTAATTCTATGAGCTTTGATGGAAGCTGTTTAATTTAAATTGCTGACAAAATATTTTATTTTATTTTCCACAGATGCATATACAACTTCAGAAGTGACATACATATGGACTTACAATGCTTCAGATTCAGTGCAGGTGGCACCAGATGGCTCAAGATTGAATCAGTACGATCTTTTAGGCCAGACAATTGGAAAAGAAACAGTTAAATCAAGTACAGGTTAGTAAAACGTAGCTTGAAGAAAAAGGCACTCACTTGGCTCTAAAGAACATGGGCATTGCTACTGGTGTTAGAAGGCTACTGAAAAAAACATGCAAAATGCTAAATATTAGGCATAGTCTATTGATGTATGGTAGAAGTTAACACATGGCAGCACTTAGTGGTTCTTTCAAGTTAGTAAGTAACCACTGATAGCGGTTCACAGAGGTGAACAACTCAGTGACTGCTTTTTAATGTTATCTGGAACTCAGTCTTGAATCCTAATGTTTGTAACCCAAGACTTGGTTAATTGTTTAATTTCATATGAGAAATGACACTTTTTGTCTACTAAATGGTGAAGTATGCTGGTTTCAACCATTTTTTCCTTCGGCATTAAACACTGGATTATTCTACCTGACTCTAGACTGTGTTCCTACATGTGCCAGGCTGTGATGGATCCCCAAGATTGCCTTCTGACCATAGAGTAAGTTCTTAAGGTGCCTTTGTGTGAATGCAGCGAGTTGCTTATGTCCAGAAGCCTGCAGGACTGAAGTTCTTGTCAGGGCATGCAACCGTTCTGTAAGTTCCTGAACATTGATATTTCCTGGAGCTCAGTGGAAATAAGATATAGTTGTACTCAAAAACTTTCTTACATTCTGTAGGATGCTTTCTACTACAAAATATGTTCAGTGCAATTTAACCCTAGTACATTTGATTCTCATAAATGTACCAAACTTTATTTTATCAAAGAAGTGGACTGAAGATGATAACCTTTTGTTTCATTGTGTTTTGTTTGTCGCACCTAGGTGAATATACAGTAATGACGGCTCATTTTCACTTGAAGAGAAAAATTGGCTATTTTGTCATTCAGACTTACCTCCCCTGTATCATGACTGTCATTCTCTCTCAAGTGTCATTCTGGCTGAACAGAGAATCTGTACCTGCCAGGACAGTCTTTGGTGAGTCTACTGAGCAGCATTACCTTTGTTTGCAAGAGCTGAAGCTGTTAGGAAGTATTTCTGAAGTCTGCTTGGTAAAAGCCTTTTTCATTTCAAGTTAGAGTGTTTGTAAAATGTAATACTATTTGTAGTCCAAACAGCTTTCAACTGCAGCTTACAGATTTCCTGAAAATTCCAAAGTTTTTGAAAATTAGTACATATGAGCGAACTGTCCATATATCCTTGGCTCTTTTAAGAGAAAAGAGTTTTTATAGAATGGAAAAAGATGATAATGTTTCTATTTTTTTTAAAAATATATTATTTTCTGAAATGTCTTACCTTATTATTATCCAGATATTTTGGTACTTGGCAGGTAATCACATTTCTAAGTACATTTGTAAAATAAGCAAATTAAATTTGAATTTGTTGAATTATTTGAATGTGTTAAACTTTGCAAATTCTGGCTCTTTAAAATAAATCCTATTCTGAGGGTCTTGCTAAATCTTTCTCATTAGTTCTAATTGGAATATACTATGAGGCAGCAAAGAGCTTCAGCAGTACAAAATAATGGCATTTTTTTACATTAAGGTTTTACTCTCTTTTTTTATTAAAGCAAAGCAACAAATGTCTTTCTTACTTGCATAACTTAATGTTCTTTTAATTTTCTTGCTTTTAAAGAATTAATTTGTTTGCTTTTAAACAAAAAGAGACTAGCAAAACAAAAACAAAGTAAGTTCTGTATGAAATCAGCCATCAGAAATGCTGCATAACATCATATGATTCATCATCAGTAAACACCATGCACTGTTCAAAAAATAGGCCAAACTCAAATGCATATTAAGTATGATGCACAACAAAGCACTTGCTGTCTCTTGTGGTAGAGAAAAATGCCACACAAAGCATCATGAAAATTGCAGGTTTGAATATAAGCCTTATTGAAGTCAGATGAAATGGGTCAGTGGTTTTAGCAGGATTAGAAATCTACCAAGTTTTCTCAGACAGTTATCAGGCACATATTTTTTATCTTTCTTCAAAATCTTCTGTGAATTTGTCCATTTCTGTTTATCAAAATGCACATTCCTGTTTTTCCAGCCTTGCAAGTACACTGTCAAGTCCTTATATATGTCTATGTCTTTGCCCTTTTCTGTACCTCCTCGTATACACTGAGGACACTGAAACTGGTTTGTCCAAAAAAAGTCTCTCCTCTTCCTAAAACGCACTTTCTGTTGCTGTGTTGTCAGTAACAAGGCACTAGAATAATTTTCCTGGAATGCTCTATCCCTTCCTGCATACTTCTTTCTAGTTCTTGATTTATTTTTTGTTTAATTTATGATTTTCTTTTTGAAAGAAGTAGTATCTGCGTGGCAACCTGTGCTTTACTCTCCTGGGGATTTAGCATAACATGGATAATGAACAATTTCAGGATGTCTTGAGGGAACTGGGCAGGGTGGCCGCAAGAACAGAACCACACACCACACACTGCGACATAAAATCTAAAACCTGTTTAGTAAGCACAATGGGTATACTGAGGAGATAGTAATTTCTATGCTAGTATTTTATTTTTGTCACACAGATGTGCACCTCCCGCACCAGTCAGAGCCCTGTCCCCTCCAGGCCAGCTTGGCCTGGCACTGTGAACCCAGGGGAACAAGACGTGTCCAGACTCTGCTCGGTGGAGCAGCCTAGCCCCTGCATGCAGCATTTGCACTTCAGGCTTAGCCTTCGGCATTGGGTTGGATGTCCCCTGAGGAGCTATTTTTAACATTTTTTTGCACTCTAGATGAGATTGTCAGCATAAGCTGCCAACGGCCTCTCTAATCATTTAGCCCCAGGCAAATCTCCCAGTCTTTCTCCATACCTACTGGCAACAATTGTCACTAGGTTTTCTGATACCTGCTGGTCTCCTGCCTAAATGTGTTACAAAAATGTAAAGTTAACCACAGTTTCATAACAAAGTTCAGCTATTGCTTCTTACTGTTTTCTGGCTTGTATTGAATTAATCTTGACAGTTAGAGCTGGACAGGTACACTCAAGGTCTCATTTGGATGGTACTTTCAGGTGGACTCCACCCAGTGATGCATGAAGCCCATAGTACAGTTAAGGTAGTAAAACAAGCTAATTCCAGCAGGGAGTATAAAAATTGCAGGGGATTTTACTTCACATTTTTATTGATCATACTTAATTTTTAGTTTTTATATGGAGTAGTCACTTGCTCAATACCCATCTTTGCATTGTATAATAAATCTATCAATAATAAAATATAGTTAAGTGGAAAGTATTAGTTTTGATAAAGTGTTTTTCAGAATCAATGAGAAATTTATTCAAGTACTTTCTTGAGAGCTAACAAGTCCTAGAAAGGACTAACTGCTGGAGTTCTGTTCGTTTCAAAGAAACATAACTCCCAGTTATTCAAAGCACCATTTGGCATTTATTATTTCATGTTTGAAGAACTTACTTTCCTTTCCCCTTTCTATTCTCTCACAACATAGTTTCAAGTTCTAGGTTAACATTAAGGGCTTGGTATAATGAGGCTTCTTTTATAGTTGAGCTCTTTAATCCCTTTCCTTTATGGCATATATTTAATATTGTTGACCAAAGCTATCCCAAATGAATTATGGCCTAATGTTATATTGTTTCAACTTTGCTTTAAAGTACTGGAAGAAGAAAGTTTTATCATTGTTAATTAAATAAGTCTTGAATGTGTTTTCTCTAGCAGATAAATTTGAAAAGCATTTGATTGCAATTTTAACAAAAGGGAATAAGCCTGGTTCATAATGCCTTCATTTAGTGCAAGATTACAATCTATTTCATTTAGTAATGTGTTTATTGTTGCGCATTTAGTGTCAATAATATTATCAAAACTTATCTTGTGCAGCTTATTGAATTCTCGCTTCATTTTTAATGGGTCATAACATTTACAAGCATCACATATATTTGAATAGAAGCATTAGATGCAGGTGACAGAAAAATCAGACATTAGTTTTCTTAGTGCTACAGTTATCTGTGTGTTTTAACTCACACACAGTAGGAATGAGAATGTTAAAATGAATGTAGTTAGATATATATTCTTTGATACCCAAAGCAGGCAAGAACAAAAATTAATAATTGTATTATTTTTAGCACATTGTCCGAGAGGTAGAACTGTAAATTCACATAGCTATGCTCCTTTGTCGGGATTCTGATCTCTGTGATATTTATTCTTATGCTGCATTCCTATACCTGTGTTTTGCATTTTATTGGTTTATCTTTTCTGAATCTATATTCATTAATGTACATTTTAAGGCAAAAAGCCATTGAGACCTAAAATAGACAGACTTTTAAATTGTGTAACTACAGAAAGGGGAACCTAAGAAAAGTTCAGACTTGTTCTCTGGTTATTTTTACATGGAAATTGAATAACTTAGACCCATCCTTTTGAACAATTCTGTATATACAAAGCACCTTTTCCCATTTTGTTGAAAAAATCTCAACTGTCTTTATCTACTTCTCCTTTCACATGCTGCAGATTATCTTTTGTGCCTTTAGAGATATCTCACCACTCACAAGTTTCAGTCTATAATTTCTTAATTGGGAATTTCTGCTAACTGTAGACATATGTGATAGTTTCACTGGACTAGCCCATGGCTAGCAACCAACACAGCCGTCCCACATTCCCCCCACCCCCAGAGGATAGGGGAGAGGATTGGGGGGCAAGGGTAAGGAAGCTTGTAGGCGGAGATAAGAGCAGTTTAATAATAGAAATAAAAGAAAACTTAAAATAATACTAATATTAAAATAGTAGTGCTAATAATAACAGTAACAAAATATACAAATTTGATACACAGTGTTATACAGTGCAACTGCTCACCACCTGCCAACCAAGCCCGGCCCATTCCCAGATAATGATCCCAGAGGAGCGACAATCCCGAACTGAAACCGCAGTCCCGGAAGAGTGAAAGCCCAAGTGAAAACCAGAGAGAGCTAGAAGAGGAAGAGCCCCTCACTAAGATACTGGACATGGCATGATATGATATGGAATACCCCATTGGCACATACAAATACCAGTTTAGCTTATTAATTTAAATATTCCTCACGCCCTTGGATCTTGCACCTGTAGACTAACAGAACACAAAGTCCTTCACTTCCAGCCACAAAAATGCAAACCCTGGTGTGTTATCAGTGTCTCTCTCATAACAAGTCCCAGGCTGAAAAACAAAATGCAGCACTATTCTAGCTACTGGAAAAGAAACCCAGCTCTGTCCCAGCTAAAAACCAGGACAACATAACACTGTAGTGGTAGACAGTGGGCAAGCATACCTGGAAAACTGTAGCCCTTGGAGACTGAGCTGGCTACAACCAAACTAATATGACTTCTCAGCTCAGTGGTATGCCAAGACACTAGATCACGTTCCAATAGTGACATAATGGCATGGAAGTTTTACTAGATCTGGGGTAAACAGCATTTGCTGTTCAGCTTTGGGAATTAGCTCAGCTGTTGATTGATGGGGAGCTCTGCTCCATTGCTCCATATTGGTAGAGTGAAGCAATATGAGTACTGGCGATATGTATATATAGCCTAACTGACAGACTGAATGTAACTTTTCTGGAAATAGAGAATGTTGTGGTCCTTGGCCTGCCATGTTATTTTAAAAGGCTTCTGGCCTTTTGCATCGTTCTTTTAGTAAGAATGCTAGACAGAGCACTTGAGCTATTTTCTACAGTCTTTCTCTCAATGATTGTTCAGACTTATCTCCTGGTGTCTGAGAAGAATCAGTGTACACTCCTTTTGTATTGTATTCTCAAGTAAGACACATATATTGTATAAATGAAAAACAAACAGCATGGTGTGTAGCTGAATGTTATGGTATAATACTTTAAAATTACATTATCTCCAGAATTTCTAAGCCTTGATTTAGACCTCACAACTGTTTACTCTTGGAGAGAGTGTGACAGTGTGCTCCCCCTTCCCCCTCCCCACCTAATTTTTTTTTCCATAACCCTGTTCAAGTGATAACCACCAGTGGTGATCACCCGCGACAGTGATGAAATGAAGTAGTAATCTGTATCTTTGTGAAATGGACGTCTTTTATTTCTGCTATGTTATTTGTATTTTTAAATCTATTCAGGTTTTCAACCAGATTGAGTGATCTAATTACCTAACAACATTTGCAATTACTGTTAAGAAAAAAGAAAGAGTGAAGTAATAGAGCAATGGAAGTACCTTCCTAATAATAAAAAAAGTAATTTATCAGTCATTTTGTAACATGTTTTTCAACCATTATGTGTATCTTTGCAAAGTGCTATGATGAAAAGATAAAATTGTGGGAGGAGTAGCATGACATTATTAGAAATGGAACACATTTTAAGTTTTTTAAGCATTTTGTACAAACTATTTGCAAAGCTGAAGTACATCTTTTGTTACAGAAATGTCCTTTGGTAATGCATTATTTAGGCCTTTTACATTCATTTTCAAAGGAAATGTCCACATTCTAACATGAGAAGGCTAGGACATGAATTAGTTGACTAAAATCTGTTCAAATTAGAAAAATCTGTTGATACACAAGAGGTGAAATTAGGGTCCAAAAGAACTTGACCCTGTCAAAGAGTAGCTTGACTTTTGCACACAAACATGGGCATAAACTATTCATCATGATAATTTTTAACTTTAATATTTATGTGCTAACTCCTCCAATTTCCACTATATGTTTTTGGTTAGGCATTTCTAGTTTTTCAGTTTACCTTTTCTGCTGTTGCGTGGCGGTGCCCTATACCACTGAGTGGCAGAAAAGGTTTGCCCAAAGGTAGCTAGGTAGCTGTCTAACTTTAAACACATCTTGAATGGTATCCATCTGTCCTGTAATCCAAAATATGACACAGCTGGTATTTTCTACATATATAAGTTTAGTGCCAGTGAAAAGTGTTGAATTTACAGCCCTGGTCCAATAGCTCCAGTCTTGGCCTGGATGAATAAAACTGTAATGATAGAAGATATTTAACTTCTATAGGCATGCACTGCTGAAAACAAAAGTTGTAGTGATGTTATGGTATATTTAGTGTCAAGTATGAAATGCTTGTTCCTCTTCAGAGAAGGGAAATGTCAAAGGTTTATTTTTTTTAATCAAGACAAACTGATGACTGCTTGTGGTTCCTTACAAAACAATTACTGTCTGTGTCCATTTCTGGCACTCTTTCAGTGCCATACCTGCTGGGTGCTGTGCTATAGAAGATAGTTCTTGACCTGTATATAAAATGTGGTCTTTCTACATCATAGTGAGATATGATGCAGTCTTTACATAACCTGTTAAATTATTTAGGCTGTATATGATTTAGATGAGAAGATTGTTTTCCTCTAATATTTTTACTATCTCATTATAGGGGGACAATCTACTCACTGTTTTTTATACCAATTTTAGTTCACTAGTGTTATGAATTAGGTAATGCAATGAGTAATGCTTTTGATCTGATCAGTGTCTGGGTTTTGTGGGGTTTTAAGTTCTTCTTTGTGAAATAAATGTCTTTTGTTTTACAAGTTGACCATATTAATATTTTTTCAGTCCTCTCAGGTTTAGCAATAACAAGGAGACAGGTTATTTCCATTCAGCCCATTTTTGTAAAGAAGACTTGATAATATTGATTTTTCAAATTAACTGTAATGTGCAAATCTGTCTTTTAACTGAAGAATAGCAAGTATAAAAGTACTAGAGATTTCTAAACTGACAGGTATTAGAGATTAAATTTTCTGTCCAATTTTTTCCCATTCAATTCAGGTTAAATGATGCTGGTGGCTTGAAAATCACTGAATTTATAGAGCGAAGGAATAAATGAAAGTGCCTTGGCAATTGTCTGACAATGTGCTGTTTGATTAGCATTTGGGTCACAAAGTGGTGTGGTGTGCTGAACTTTTTAGAGAAATTATCAACCAACAGCAAGATACAAGATATAAATTCATGATGTTTTAATTCAGACTAGCAAAGGTCAGCATTTAATCTTAGATTAGATTTCTGAAGAAGCCAACGGGGCTTCCAGAAGATTAGTTTATTCTAGAAGGTAGGATTTAAACAGAAGAGTACCTTAGCAACTGTATATATTTACATGTGGATAAGGTCACCTTATCTTTGAGAAACAATTAATTTACTGATACTTCTGTATAATTAAAATGATTTATCTGCAGCTCAGGACCGGTGTTAAAATTTGCATGTGATAATTTTAAATGTAAGATAGACTGCCTTTTCCCTGAGGTGCTGAAAATAATTAAGCCATATGTTATGTGTTAGGAGAGAATTAATTTTTTACGAAAGATATTGTCTGTATGTTTTCATACAATATAGTATGATACCTGTTTCCTTTTCATTGTGTAGGCTAGTAGATCCCAACAGTGTCATGACCAAATCAACTTCTTTAATTTACGGAGGCTGAAAAATAGTAATTAGAGAATTACATTTGCTAAGGTATCTGGATACTTATCTGGATGTTTCTGTGCCTTGTTTTCCCTGCTGCACAGGCCTTTGGAAGTGCATCAAGGGGAAGTAGTGCTGAGGCTGAGTCCACTTAGCTTTGCTCTATCATCATTTGTAGCACCCTCAGAGATGGAGATTCTTTACAGGAGGGGTGGAAATTGCAAAGCCTGAAGAGGTCTGAGTAGGTGTAGTTGCTGCCTGGCTTCCCTCTCACACACTGGTTACAAAATGTTTCTCTTGCAGCAGAAGGAAAATTGGACCTAGGTAGATCCTGCAGCACCTGGGTAGCAGATTGCTGACACTGGAGGATCTGGCTTAGGGAGAGTGACTTTAGTTTCTCTTGGGAATCCTGTTACAACGTTTTTGTGAGTGTGTAGTTGTTGAAGTGGTGATGTGCTGTTACTGATATTTCTGCCATGGCGTCTCCTTTGCTTGTCATAATGGAGTGTAGGCTTGCTGATCTGTGCTAAGTATATCTCTTTGCGTTGCTTCTCTTTCTGGAGACAAGGTATTTAATGGCATCCCACAAAGGGAATCGTTTAGTTTGTCTAAGTGTGATTCAGCCTGAGGTGGGAGAACTGATTTACTTAAAGAATGGAGACTGCCTTTGCAGCTGTGGGTTTCTGCTTGCTAAAACTGTTTCAAAAAAATGTTCTTCTCTAGCTTTCCTCCCATGTATCTTTTTTTGCTGATTATTTTTTTGAAGTCAAATTCCTGGCTTCTTACTGGGTCTTCATTATATACAAAGTACTGTAAAGTGCTTTTGATAACTGCTGCAGTGAAAGAACAATCTTCCTGGATCATCAGGTCTTGTTTTCTAATACATAATACACAGTTGTAATAATCTGGCATTTTAAATCAATATGCTGTTTCTAGAAAAAAATCCATGTTACCTGAATGAAAACTTAACCTGTTTATATCTTCAACTATGTCACTGGATGGTTAGTGAGACAGCTACTGGGAAAAAAAATAAAATAATAATAATAAAAAAAATTATTCCTAATAGCAAAAGTCAATTTATGTGATGTCCATAAAGATGGGTGCTGGACCTGCAGCCACTGCAGTGAAGCCAACTACCAAATATTAACATATTAATCATGATTAATGTAATGCTGCAAAATATTATGATTACATTAAGGAATTGTTAATTTTGTCCCTTACCTGTCCTGATAGCTAAAAAAAAGTTTAGACAACAAAATTTAACTAAATACTTCATGCAGCCTTTAATATGGTTCTGGCAGTTTGTCACCAGTTTAGGTAAGCAAATTTTCCGTTTTGTTTCACAAACACCCTAATAATTTTTGATTTGTATTTTTGTTAAGATTCAAAATCCAAGTAAAATTGTTGATGTTCTTTTATTTGTCCTCTTTCAGGAGTAACGACTGTGTTGACAATGACAACACTGAGCATCAGTGCTCGAAATTCACTCCCCAAAGTAGCATATGCAACAGCTATGGATTGGTTTATTGCTGTTTGTTATGCATTTGTATTCTCTGCATTAATTGAATTTGCAACTGTAAATTATTTCACAAAACGAGGATGGGCCTGGGATGGAAAAAGTGTAGTGAATGATAAGGTAAGTCCTAAGGTAATAGCCCTATTTCAGTCAATTGGACTGAAACAGCTGTAATATATTGTTTTGATAAAATCAGCTATATATAAAAAAATACATGATGCTTTAAATCAAAAGAATATAGATGTATTTTCTGTCCTGAACAAAAATATATCTGCTTTGATGTAACTAATCTCACTTGGTCTCAATAATCCAGATTTAGTTATCAAATACACTGTTTTTTTATGTTGGGAACTGTCTGACTTGTTTCATGACTCCTCAGATGCAGCTGTTTATCTGGTTATTGAGAAAATTTAATCCAGACCATATTGGTTGGTCATTTTTTTATTGTTTAATCCAATTGAGTTGGAAATGAGAAAAAATATTACAGAAGGATATAATGTATATTAATTTTCTCCATAATTAAGGATCAGAAAAACAACTGAATGCTCATATATGTAAAAACTATTAATAACAAAATCTAGAAGTTTTGAACATTTTCAATATTCTGAAACTTATCCTAATGATATGGAGACATCAATTTTTAAACTAATTTAAATAATAGTTGTACAAAATTCTGAGTACTTCTTCACCTATGATGTACTGATGCTCTTGAGTGTGTAGAAACAGTCAGTCACACCTTAATTTTCTGGGATTGATAGTAGTGTAGGTGTGATAGCATGAAGAAATTTTAACCTGATAGAATGTCTGATTTAATGAACAAAATGAACTGGTGGTACACTTAAATTTGTGTCAAGCTTTACAGTTTATAATTTTAATAACACAGAACAAATGTTAAAGCTGACTTGTTTTGACTGACTTACTGTACTATATAATTTTTTTCCTATCCCAGTTTCTGATTCTACCGATGGATAATAATTTCTCCAAACAAAGAATTTCTGATTTCTGTGATTCTCCTTAAAATAGGATAAAATATTATTTTCTTCCTAGATGATAATAGTAGACTTGAAGCAAAGTTTCATTAACTGATGGTTTCTCAGCACTTTGAATGCATAAAGCACAATGCATAAAGAAGCAAAATGTTCAGTTAATGATAAAGGAGAATTAGAGGAATCAAGTACATTTTCTACAATTCCCTGTGGCTTACAGAAGAGCATGAAGTATCCATAGCTTCAAGATCTGTTCCCTCATGCTAGAATTAGATACCAAATCACTACAAGTTTATCTACATGTTGTGAGTGAAGCTTTTCAGACTGGTACATTGCCCTGGCATTGTAATAACATAGGGAGCCCTTCTAAACTCTCTAATCATCCTTTGGCTGTTCCTTTAAATGAATATAACAATGTTGTCTCATGATCTTAGGAGTGGCAGCTGTTTAACAGCTAGGTAGAATTCCTTCCCTAGGAATGTAAAAATCAGCCATTCCATTTTAAGATTAATATAACATTCACATGTCCAGTTCTCTATTTTCTTCAAACTGACTGAACAGAAAGCTAAACTTCTAACGTATTCATAGTTTTTCATACAAAAATATAGTTCATCTTTATTATGCAGGTCTCATTAATAGTATTACAGATACCTTTTAAAAACACACTATGTATGTCTGAAGGGAAGGAATGTTGGAGTGTTCTTCTTGTAATATTTGGTAATTTACTCTTATTTTTGCTGAATGCATTTAGGCACCTAAAGTCAGGCTTACTCCACCAAATAAAGTTAAATGTGTTTCCTCAGTGACAGACATCTTTCTTCATGTTATATGGAAATTCCCACGTACGTACTGACAACATGGAATTTGTCTCACAGGAAAGCAGGTGCAGGAACAAGCTACATATTTGATCAGCCCCTTTTCACACTGCAGTCAGTAAGGAGCAATACTGAATTCCCACCTGATCCCAGATTTTCTTTTTGGGTGACGCCGTCTCCTGAGACACAGTATTTGGAGTGCAACATCTAACCATGAAGATCTTATAAAGCTTTATAGACAGCCCTGATAAGTATCAAATTGGAGCTAATATTAAACCAAAACTGGAAATTGGGTAGGTGCCTCCCAGTGGAAGTACAAATTTGGAATGCACCTGTATGAGAAGTGTCTCAAGAATTCCCTCACTTGTGCCACTTCCATTAGATCAAAAATCAAACCAAGCCAATACACCGGCTGATGGTTTCTTTTATGAGACAGAGGTTCACTATTTCTTCATCTGTTTAATTCTGTATTTTGTGGGAGAAATGGACTGAATCTAATATTTATTTGCCTGCTTCTCAATTATATATGGAGAGCCTTGCTTCCTGAGAAACTGAAATCCTTCCATTCTTTCCTGTAGATTATTAGAAGGTCCTTAGTTTGAGATTCATAGAATCATAGAATCCTAGAATGGTATGAGTTGGAAGGGACCTTAAAGATCATCTGGTTTCAACCCCCTGCCATGAGCAGGGACACCCCCCACTA